CCCAGCTGGACAGGCACCACCTCACCCTCTGCTCACTAAGGGCCAGATCACAGTCCCAGGCTTCCCTGACTTGGGACCCCCCAGGTCCTGGTCTGTAGCTCTCCTACATTTCAACCTTCCCAGGGGTAAATAGTAGGGCATAAAAGGAAGCTGGGAGGGTGCACTCTTCCTCGATTTCTGAGAATAATTTGGGTACTATGGGCATTAATTTAAGTTTGACAGAGTCCCCCCCACCCCATCATCATCATCAGCAGCAGTTCCTTTACAGCCGGTTCCATTCCTTTTTTCTGATTCTCGAAGATTACTGGATTATTGGAGACCTCTACTCGGTGTCCTGTTCACTTGTGCATTTTATATTTTTGAAAGTAATCCTCTATTTCTTTTGTGTTCCTGGTTTTATTAGCATGTTGACTATGCACACTAGGTTCTGATCATTCTTTTATTTCTTCTGGTTTTATTGTGATTTCACCTTGTTCATTTGCTATTTTGTTGATTTAATTTCCTTCCTTCTTTTTAATCAGGATGGCTAAAGATTTGTCAGTTTTATTAGCCTTCTCAAAAAACATCTTTTAGTTTTATTTATCATTTCAGGAGGGTTTTTGTTTGTTTGTTTCCCACCTATCTATTTTTCCTCTAATCTTTAAAATCTCCTCTTTTGTGCTTATTTTAGGTGAGTTTGTTGGCTTTCTAACTTTAAAAAACACATATTCAGTTCATTAATTCACTCTTTGTACTCTGTTAAAGTGTTTGCAGGGATGTGGTTTTCCCCAAGGATGGCTTCAGCTGTACCTCTGGTATCTGGTTTCATGGGATCCTTTTCTTTCACCTAATTATTAACTGTTCCCAGGACTTACTCTTCGACTTGCCCCTTCTCAGGGCTCACTGGGAGTCTCCATTCTGGGCCTCTAAGTTCTGGCTGATCACCATTTTCAAGGGATGGGGTCTCAAAGGATCTGTTTCCTCTCTCTGTCTTTCCACACACGCTTGCTGTGTTTCTGGGTCTCCTCTGTCACATGTGAATTCCTGGAGGGACTGGTTTTGTCTGTTTCTGCAGCACCTAGAAGGCGTCTGTCCTGTAGGGAGAGGCTGATGCGTGCTTCCTGACTGGCCGATGCCCCTGGCAGTCTTGGGACCGCGCTTCAGCCAGTCCACCCAGGACCGCTCGACTGCAGGGTGTTTCTCACTTTGGGGGGAAGAACTCAGGCCATAATTTGTCTGCAAAGGCAAGCCCAGAAGACCAAGACAAGAGAGTCAATAAAGCTGTTTCAGGCCCCATGGCTGCGTCTCGGCCAATGCACTGCAGTCACCTGAGTTTTCGCAGAGTTTGGACTCTGGCTGGAATGAATAGATGCTTTCCTCCTCGGGCTGTGTGTAGTCAGGCTCTCGCAGCTGTCCCTGGTGCTTGGCATCCATCTGGACGACCAGAGCCGCTGAAATGCCTCCTTTTCTGGCTTTTGTCCTAACACAAGGCAGCCTCTGCCCTGCTTTAAAGTGGGTGGGAACAGTGAAATAGGAAGAAACAGAAAGAAAACGGTCTTGGGAATGTGACTCCAAGCCGGAGTGACACGGCGGCAGGCGATGTGCAGAAGAGCGGGCCTCTGATTTTCATTTAGAAGGATTCACTGACAGCACTCAGACTGCAGGGGCAGCAGGCTGGGTGATCTGGGGTTCACATTTACCACTGAGAGGCAGTGGAGGCTTCAGACTTCAGCTCCTAACTCACAGGCCATTTTGTTTGTCCAACCAGATGGGTTGGGATGCTTCCCATGAAAGGGGCTGTTCTAAGCACAGCCAGGCGGCTGTTGGGCTGGAGTAAGAAAGACTCCTCTTCCTGAGTTCAAATTCAGCCTCAGACACTTACCAGCTGGGTGACCCTGGCCAAGTCACTTCACCCTGTTTGCCTCAGTTTCCTTATCTGAAAAATGAGCTGGAGAAGGCAATGGCAAACCACTCCAGTATCTCTGCCAAGAAAACCCCAAATGGGGTCATGAATAGCCGGACCTGACTGAAAAATGACTGAAGAACAACAAAGCATAAATCCTGTACTGTTTCTGTCCGAGTCACTCTGCAGAAGACCTTAAGATGAGGCTAAGCTATGCAAAGACTCCCAAGGGCAGACAGGGGTTAATTACAGAGAGTTGCTAAGCTATCCTGAGCCCTCGGCCACCTTCCAGCTCATCAAAGCTCCTCATAAATCAGGACACACACAAACCCGAACGTGACATTTCCGGATGCTCCAGCCCCTCCAGGTACAGTGGGACCATTACTTCATGTCAAAGACAACCTGACCTGAACGCATGTCAGGGAGAGATCATTTTTAAACGATCACCAGACTCCCTGAAAACCATAATTTAGGGGAAAAGAAAAAACTTGAGGCCATATAAGGAAACTGCCCAGAGGGCAAAGTGAAGCTAGAAAGAAGCTGCCCATTACCTCCTGAAGGGAACCTCCACAGAAGAGTCCCAGGAACGTTGGTCAAAACCCAAAGTTCCCAAGTCAAAGAAAAAATATGCTGTGAGCACCAGAAAGAAGCAATTCAAGTACTCTGGGAGCACAGGGCAACCCCAGGACTACAACATTCCAAAGACAGAGGCTGCCAACCAAGGGACCACAGTGGACATGTGAGCTCAAGATGCCATCCAAGAGGACCTGGTCCAAGGGGGCACAGTGGACGAGTGAGCTCAAGATGCCATCCAAAGGAACATGGTGGACATGTGAGCTTGAAATGTCATCCAAGAAGACCTGGTCCAAGGGGACACAGTGGACATGTGAGCTGAAATGTTGTCCAACAGGATCTGGTCCAAGGGGGCACAGTGGACGTGTGAGTTGAAATGCCATCCAAGAGGACCTCGTCCAAGGGGGCACAGTGGACGTGTGAGCTCGAGATGCTGTCTGGTAGGCAGCTGGGGATGTGGGTGACATGGGGCTGCAGCTCAGGAGAGAGGTCAGGGCCAGACATGGGAGCAGATGATAGGGAGTAACAGGGCAGAAGAGAAACCAGGACAAAGCCTTGGGAATACCGCCAGAAAGTGGTCAGGACATAGATGAAGAACCAACAGAGGAGCCCGGGAAGGAACCATCAACAGTCAGAATCAGGAAAACCCAGGGGCAGCTAGGTGGTGCAGTGGATACAGCACTGACCCTGGAGTTAGGAGGACCTGAGTTCAAATCCAGCCTCAGACACATAACACTTACTAGCTGTGTGACCCTGGGCAAGTCACTTAACCCCACTGCCTAGAGCAAAAAACAAACAAAAAAAAGAATCAGGAAAACCTGTGGAGGGGCGAGTATCAAGAAGGTGACTGACTGACAGGGTCAAAGGCTAGAGTGCAGAGGCCAAGGAGGTTAAGGACTAGGAAAAGGCCAATGGGTTTGGCAGTTAAGAGATGACTTAATATTAATAGCAATAACATTATCGCTATCACATATAATATATAATATGTGATATTATATATAATAGTATATAATATATGGTATTATATATAATAGTATATAATATATGGTATTATATATAATAGTAATAATAAATAATAACTTTATATAATACCTACTATGTGCCAGGCACTGTGCTAAGCATTTTACATTTTACACCTTATTTGATCCACACAACAAGAGGAGGTAGGTGCTGTTATCACCCCCATTTTACAGATGAGGAAACTGAGGCAAATAGGTAAAGTGGCTTGCCCAGGGTCACACAGCTAGGAAGTGTCTAGTCCAGATAGGAATCCAGGTCTTGCATTCCCTCCACTGCAGCGCCACCTAGCTGCCCAATGGGTAAATGGTACAGGTTATTATCCCCATTTCACAAAGCAAGAAACTGAGGATCAGAGAGTTGGAGTAGTTTTTCACTGGTGACTCAGCTCACAAGGAGAGAGGGTATTGACTCCTCATCCTGGGCCTTTTTTTTGGAAGGGCTTTTCTCTGGCCTGAGTCCCTGACACGGGATCACCTGAGGGAATTTACCCGAGCCTGGATCCCACTGAATCCAAGCAGCACTAAGCTGGCGCTGGGAACGCTAGGCCCCCAACAGCAACAGCAACTCTGGGGATTAGAATGGGCATCCCTCAGGAGGCGGCCCTCACTGACCCGACGGAATCCAGGCATTCGAGGGAGACGATGGGAGGTGGGGAACGTAACAGGAGGCTCAGGAAAAGAAGAAATGGCAACTTAGGGGACAGGGAAGCAGGAGTTTTTTAAGCACCTACTATGCGCTGCTTCACAAATAGTCTCCTTTGATGGGAGAGGAAGGAAGGAAAGGCCTGCCCAGCAGCAGGGAGGGCTATGGCATCAGCCCGGCTGCAGGGCCTCCTCTGGGGGCCTAAGTAGCTCTCCAGATGTGTCCAGAGCCCCGCGCCATTCCCACCACTCTACAGTCCCTGGTATTTCCCAGTCTGAGCCCTCCAGGCATGAGCAGTTGGGTAACTGCTGTGGGGCTGGGGCTGGGGCTGGGGGCTCACAAATGGAGCCGTGCCAATAAGGGCCACAGCTGTGCCACCCCAGAGTGGACCAGGCCAAAGGAGTGGGCTCTGGGCCCCCACCCCGCAGCCGTGACACTCCTCTGGGAAGAGGCTGGTGGCCATTGGTTGGGTGTGCAGCGCGGTGTTCTGTTCAGGGCTGGACTATACTGGCTCCCTGGTCCCTGGTAGCCCAAGATTCAGTGATGTGCCCACAGTCCCACAGGCCAGCCAGTCGGTGTCTGGGCCAGGTCACCAGCCAGTATTCCAAGGTGCTGGTGGTGGCTATTTCCATGACATCTTTTCTTTTTTTTCATTTTAAAATAATTTTATTGATAGTTTGCATTTATATCACTTACATTTTCCAATGTTTCCTTCCCTGAACTGTTCCCAGAGAGCCACCCCTTACAACAAAGAGAAAAGGAAAAAAAACAATTCAGCAAAACCATCATCATCAAAACCCGCCAGATTTGATATACACTATTTCACACCCATACTACCCCAACTTTGCAAAGTGGTGGGCGTGTTGAAAGAGACAATCCTTAATTAAGTCAATATTGATTATCCTGCTGATTTATTTTAACAGGTAAGACTTGGACAGCTTTCAGATTAAGAGATATGTAAGCACTGGAATCAGAGACTAAGTTCCTCATGTGGTAGAGTTGAGCAGTGGAGCTGGAATGAACACTGCCCCATTTCAAAGAGGTCCGAGTCTCCTTCTGCAGTGGGCTCAGTCAGCGCTCTCAACTGTGCTTCTGGCAAGAACACCCCTGCTGAGCTAGCACAATAATCCCATGACTTCAAGACTGGCCAATGGAAAACTGTAACCAGACGGGCCACACTGCCTCGCTCGTCTCACATCGCTCCAGGATGTACCTCGCTCAACCTCAAGTCAAGCGTTGTGCGCCATCCAATCAGAATTCAATCAAGTTTCCCAAGAACCTGTAATTTTCCATTCCTTTTTTTATGATTATGAAAATAAGCTCTGTAAATGCCGCTCATCTATGGCTCCTGAGGAGCCACTGACCTCACTTCCTGGCAATTGTTAGCTTTGCTAATACATTGATTGTGTGCGAAACTTTTTACCTCAGTTTCTCTTTATCACAGATTTCCACTGTGGCAGTGTATGAGAGAGAGTATACGAGTCTCAAATCACTTCTTTGGAGCCAAGCTTAGTCATTATAATTTCACAGCATTCATTTTTACTTCCGTGACATCCTGCCTTTCTTGGCACCTGACCACAAAGGGCACGAAGGGACGCGTGCTGCGAGGCAGCGTGAAGGGGGCTGACGGTCCACAGGAGCACAGTCCCATATGGCACGGGGGTGCCCTCTTTCTGCAGAGGACCTGAAGCCCGCAGGCGGCAACAACACTCCACCGGGCTACACTCCCACTAAAAGCAGCAGACCCTAAGAATGATATCTCACAATCAAAATGTTCTTTAGGGTTTACAAAGCATGTTTTAAAGAGGCTATTTTCACACAGGTTGAAAGTCTAAATGCAAGAGGCACCAGCAGCCAGGTTCAGCTCTCCCCAAAGCCTGAGTAATGAGATAACTTGCGGCAGGCACAAATATTTAACAGGCAGCATTTTTGTTAGCAAGTCATTTGGAAACCTTTTGTTTGGCACAGCAAAGCATCGATGATAGGTTGATTCTGACCCTTTAAGCCTCTGGTCACCTCAACTCTACAGAAACAAGGACGCAGAGAGAAGAGCCACGGGAAAGATAAAAGATAAGAGCTCACACTGCTTACGTGGTAACAGACCACACTGCATTGGGGGTGAACAGAGAAACCTTTTGGAACTTTACAAAACGGCCAGGTTACAGCTCTGACTGCAGATCCTCAAAGGCGAGTGCTAACGACCCCATCTTCTACAGGCTTCAGACATGACACTGGGCGGCTGCTCTGGACCAGGGGAGGTCTGGATGCCAAGAGATCGATATTTTAAGAGTAAAACTTTTCCAAACCACTAACTGCATGCCCCTGCAAGCAGCCATCTCAAGGGAGGATGCCTCTGGCCAGTCCTCATCAACACCATTCACAAGAGTCCCAGCAAACGGTGTACCTTCAATTGCTCTTAACTTTTATTGTGCACAGATTTTGTCATTTCACTCCTTTGCCCACAACTGGGTCCCAGAACGCCCCTTGCAACAGCAGGTGGGGCAGGCTAGGCCTTGGGCATGGCCGGGTCCCTGACACTGAACTGCCGGTTGGGTTTGGTGGCTTCCTGCATCAGCTCCTGCAGCTGGCCGATCTGCTCCTCGCTGAAGTCATCGAGCTGCTCTTTTGTGAGGCGGGCTCCCAGCTGCATTTTCTCCACCGCATTTGTCTGCTGCCATAGTGCTGCTGCATACCTCTAGGAAAGGGAAAGAAGGATTAGCAGCTCACTGATCTGCCTTGATGTGGAGAGCAGTGACTCCATGTCTGGTCTCTGTGCTCACCCTGCCTATGGTCCTGGGACCTGAGGGTACTCTTGGATATGCCTGCTTCTTCAGTCAGGGATTAAGTAGAGGGATCTCAAGCCACTGGAACATCATTCTCACCATTTCACAAGTAATCCTACTGATGCAAGCTTTGTTGTATTTCTCCAATAGGCAGGGAGCTGGAAGGCATCCCTCAGTTTACAGAGAAGAAAATTTGGGCCTCCACTAATCTACCAGTAGGTACTCCTCAAGTGCCTACTATGTGCTGATGCTCACTGAGAACTGGGAGGCCCCAGTTCTAATCCAGTCCCCTCATTTTAGAGATAAGGGAACAAAAGGGGAAGGGAAGGAAGGAGAGCAAGGGAAAAAGCATTTATTAAGCACCACGTGTGTGATTAAGTACTATATGAAGCACATTACAATTATTACCTTATTTTTTCTTCACAGTAATCTTTGAAGATCGATGCTACTATTATCCCTATTTATAGATGAGGAAACTGAGGCAGACAGAGGTTAAGTGACTTGCCCAGGGTCACTGCTAGTGAGTTTCTAAAGCCAGATTTGCACTCAGGACTTCCCAAGTCTAGTCCTTGTACCCTAGTCACTGGGCCACCAAACTGCCTCAAAATTAAAGCATTTACGTTATGCTTTAAGATTTGCAGAAAGCTTTACATACATTCATTCATATGATCCTCACAACAACCTGCAAGATGGGTGCTGTTATTATCCCCATTTTACAGGCAAGGAAACTGAGGTACAGAGAGAGAGGGAAAGTGATTTGCTCAGGATCACACAAATACTTACTAGTTGTGTCACCTTGGGCAAGTCATTTAACCTCAGCCAACCTCAGTTTCTTCAACTGTAAAATGGGGATAATAAGAGCACCCACCTCCCAGGGTTGTTTTGAGGATCAATTAAAATAAATCTATAAAATGCTTTGCCCAGTGCCCGGCACACAGTGTGCACTATATAAATGCTAGCTATTATTACTTTTGTTGTCGTCTGAAGCGGGATTTGAACTTGAGTCTTCATGACTCCAAGTCCTGACCTCTTCAAAGGGAGGTCTGGGAAAGCACTAGTCAGAGACGGTCTCGGGATTCTCTTCTGGGTAGGGGTTTGATGAGGTGGTCCTTTTCAAGCCTACAATGCAGCGGTTCTACTTATTCTAATTCTGAACAAAGGAGAGTTTTGTTTTGTTCATTTTTAAGGCAGGGGGACCTGGAGGATCTGCTTAATTACCAGTGAGAGCCGGAAGTGTGAGTTCTGTCTTCACTTGCTTTTCTAACTTGGGCTCTGCTTTCTTACTTTTGTTTCACTCATTCCCTGGGGCCTTGAGTGTCAAACTAATAGGAAGAAAGAACTTGGTAAAATTCAACTGAATGGAATAAACATTTCTTTAATTACTGGAATACGTGCACATGAATAGAGGGTAGGATGTGATGAGGGCAAAAACTCAATTGCTTTTAAACCTCAGCCAGGCACAGAAGGCTTCTAGGGGAATGCACCCCAACTCCAGGCCTTCAGCCTCGAGCCTGGGGTTATTCTCCAACACTCCCCCCCAGATGGCCCCCTCAAATTCAGCATCATCTCCTGCCTCACCCCCGCCATGGCATCTCTGGCCATGATGACCTCCTCCTCCTCCAGGACACCCTGTTTCAAAGCCCTGAGGTTCACTCTGCCCCGCCTGCCTGGTCACCTGCTTCTCATTCCACTGTCCTGCCCTAGGCTGGCCCTCAGGCCTGGATGATGAGTCAATCAAGAAACACTTACTAAGCACCTACTAGGTGCCAGGCAAAGAAAGGGAAGAGATGCTCCCTGCCCTCTGGGAGCTCCCAGTCTAAAGGGGGAGAGACAACAGGCACACACACACACACACACACACACACACACACAAACACATGCTACAGACCGGCTACACAGGAAACAATGAACAGAGGGAAGGCCCTAGAAGAGGCAGTGTTGGGAAAGGCTTCCGCTAACATGATTCCTGTAAAGACCATGGCCAAAGCATCCTTCCTGAGAGGCCTCCCTGCCCCGACTGCCAGACCAACCTACCTCAAATACAAGTTCCCCCTTACTGAACCCTTGGCCCCACTCACCAAACTACTTAGACCAACATTCAAGGCCTTTTCTCATCTGGCCCCAATCACCAAACTCCTTAGACTGGCATTCAAGTCCTTCTCTCATCTGGCCCCAATCGCCAAACTCCTTGGACCAGCATTCAAGGCCCTCTGCCATCTGGCTCCAGTCACCAAACTCCTTGGACCGGCATTCAAGGCCCTCTGCCATCTGGCCCTAATCTTCCTTGTTCTCTAACCTTAGCTTCCACTCGATCCCACGATGACGTGAACTCGAGCACTCTGGGCAATGTGCCCCTGTCAGATACGCCTGGATTCCTTGGCTCACGAGGTTTCTCTCCCTGCTTGGAACGCATCCCACGTTGCTCTCTACTTGTGCATGGGCAACTCTTACGAAGGTCGAATTCTAGCTCCATCTGGGCCTAAGGTTGGGCGGGTCCTTCATAGAAGAGGCAAAGCGAGTTGAGAGGGGAGACATCTAGGGAAGGGAAGGGGAGGAGGGGGGCTGGTTGTACTAAAGTGCTCAGCCCACCCCCAATGGCCCGCACCCCACCCCTGCACCCCCACCGCACTCTCTAAAATCTGAGGATCCCATGATGTTCTCAAGCCCTCAAGCAATTCATCAGTTTGCTGAAGTCACTACGAGGCTCTTTCAGAATCAGGGGCTTGGATACAAATGACAACTTCCTTCGGATTTAATTAAGTTTAATTTTGTTGTGATCAAGGCAAAAATGCCCAAAGAGAAATGTTCAGGGACAATTTAATCGTGCAAATACCAATGGGGGAAAAGCGTCTCAAAAATCTCCAATATTAACTGAAGCAATCGACAGTAACTCAGAGATATTAAAGACACAGATCTAGATTCCCTTTCCTAAGGTAATCGTTACTTTCCAAAGCTACGTCTTCTCCAGGAAGAGCACAGCCTCCCACGTGGTGCTCTCCTAGCTGGGGGTTGGCAGCACGGTGCTAGTGCCAGCCTCCCACTTGGAAGACCGGGCCGCAGAGGTAGTGGCACAGGGTTGGGGTCAGGAGAACTCCTAGTCTGTCAGCTATAGCAGGTGCTATGGAATGTCGGCCGGTACCGTTACTTCTCCATCACTGGCCTGGCTGGACGAGGCTCTCAGGAGCCAGAGCTGCCCCTGGGCTCATCAGCCCTGGGCAGGCTATGTTCCAGGAAGCCTGACTGCCAACAAACACATCCAGGCTTCCCTGCTTTCTTTACTCAGGCTTCCACATTCACAAGGCAGCTCTTCATGAAATAAATCCCTCTCCTAGCCCCACTACAATCAGATGTCAGGCTTTGCTTTCAACATCTCTAAGATGTCTCTGCTTTCCCCATCCCAAGAAAGACCAATCAACCAGTGACCCACCTGTCCTTCCAGACCTCCAGACTTCCCAAGCCTGAGTGTCCGGACCCTGCCAGGGGCAGCAAACCAGGCCAGGGCTCCAGGCCAACACTCTGGGCTGTTCTGGCAGCAAACAGTGAAGAGAGTGGGGCCAAGAGAGAGAAAGCGGATGGGGCCCTGGGCCAGCAGCTCCAGGGAAGGGACGCTTCACGATCTCAACCCTAGCTATCGCTGGGTCAGACACACACACCAAGACAGTCAAGGGCACAGAGAGCGGCTGGTAGTAACAGGCATGTTACCTTCTAGGAGAAGTTTAAGAACTCTACTATTCATTTTGCTTTGGGGAGAAAATTCTGAATTACCTTACTTTTGCTTAAAAGACATGACTTACCAAGGTAAAATGTAGCCACAAAAAATGACAGAGAATCCAACTTTCTCCCGTGGGTCCATCTCCAGAGGTCTATGAAGCATCAGGCACACCCATGCATGTGACAAACTTAATCGTCGTCTTAATCTTTACTTTGGTGATAACTCACAATCTGTTTTCTTTCTTTCTTTCCTTCTTTTTATAATTAATTATTTTTAGTTTTCAACATTCACTTCCATAAGATTCTGAGTTTTAAATTTTCTCCCCCTGCCACTTCTCCCCCTCAAGACGGCGCGCAGTCTGATATAGGCTGTACTTATACATTCATATTAAGCATATTTTCACTTTAGTCAAAATGTAAAGAAGAATTAGAACCAATGGGAGTAGCCATGAGAATGAAACACTAAAACTAAACAACAAAAGAAAAGGAGAGCAAATAGTCTGCTTCCGTTTGCATTCAGACTCCATGGTTCTTTCTTTAGATGTGGAGAGGATTTTCCATCATGAGACCTTTGGAGATGTCTTAGATCCTTACATTGCTGAGAAGGGCTAAGTCTACCAAAGTTAGTCATCACACAACGTGGCTGTTACTGTGCACAACGTTCTCTTGGTTCTGCTCACTTCACTCAGCATCAGACTATATATGTCTTTCCAGGTTTTTCTAAAGACTACTTGCTCATCATTTCTTATAGCACAATAGTATTCCATTACATTCATATACCACAACTTGTTCAGCCATGCCCCAATTGATGGGCATCCCCTCAATTTCCAATTCTCTGCCACCACAAAAAGAGCTGCTGTAAATATTTTTGAACACGTGTATCCTTTTCCCATTGGCATGATCTCTTTGGGATATAGCCCTAGAAGTGCTATTGCTGGGTCAAAGGATATGCACAGTTTTATAGCTCTTTAGGCATAGTTTGAAATTGCTCTCCAAAATGGTTGGATCAGTTCACAACTCCACCAACAATGCATCAGTGTTACAATTTTCCCACATCTTCTCCAACATTTATTATTTTCCTGTTTTGTCATGTTGGCCAATCTGATAGGTGTGATGTGGTACCTCAGAGTTGTTTTGATTTGCATTTCTCTAATCAATAGTGATTTAGAGCATTTTTTCATATGACTATAGATGGCTTTAA